TAACACAAGAACTAGGGCTCACCAAATGAAATTAATAGCAGCAGGATTAAAGCAAACAAAAGGAAGTATTTCTTCATACAGTGCACAGTGGAACTCTTTGCCAGAGAGCATTGTGAAAGCCAAGAAAATAACAGTTCAAAAGAACTAGATAAATTCATGGAAGATAGGTTCATCGACGACTATTAGCCAGAAGCTGGGAATGAGTGATAAGGAATGGAGCACATGATGATTTCCTGTTCTGTTCATTCCCTCTGGGGCATTTGGCAAGGACCGTAGTGAGAACACAAGATGCTGGGCTAAACTGACCTTTGGTCTGGCCATTCTTATGTTCTTAAGATTTTACCCTCTCAGTTTTCCCATGTATGAAGTTAAAGATGCTGCTGCTTATTGATTCATAAGGAAGTTGTGAGGCTCTGTTCACGCAATGCTTATGATCTCTACATGGTTGGTGTTAGTACAGTATTCATATCACTAAATTATCTATCGGGGGGGGGGTTGGGGAAATTAAAAATACAAAGTGCAACTACTGTGAGTCAGAGCACTTATTAAAGAACAGGATGTACAAGGAAAGAGTACAAGAAGCTAAAGGCTCCAAAGATACCGGTGGTCTCAATATAACACGTAAAAAAGTATAAAAATAGTGGTTGAGTGTAAAAAAAAAATAATCCAAACTCAAGATTTCAATGGATATGCCGTATGTCCATATTTAGGCACCCAATTAGCCTCATTTTGAAAAATGCTGAGCACCAATCACCGCCCTCTGAAGTCAGATGTGGCGAAGGTTTCAGCAGTTTTGAATATTAAGCCAGTTATTTAGGTGCCTCATTAGGGATATGGATGCCTAAAGTTAGGCATCAACATCTTGAAACCCTTCTCAAACTAGTATGTATTCATGAACTGAAACATTTTTTTTCTGAAGAAAAAAAAAATTCAAGAAAAAGTACACTCAGTCACATAAAGGGTAGGTTCCTGTTTTCCTTTAAATAATTGCACATACTGATCAAAATCTTCAAAGGCAAACAGTAACGTAATAGGTATTCAACTTAACATATCTTAGTGGGGGCTAGATTTTGATAAAGCGCTGAGCTTCTATCCTCTGAGAATCAGCCCCCTTTGCATTTTGAGCACCCAACAACTGAGGCATCAGAAGTCATTAGCTAATTATAAAGCTATAAATCATTGGTGCGACTGTATTCCAATTTAAAGAAGGAAAATATTTTTAAAGATTTAAAAGGTTTTAGAATAATTACATTACAGAAGGTAAATTTTAAAATGCTGTTACGTGATTGTATGTTTGAACATTGAGTAAAAAATTATAATCAATAAGAGGGTCAAAATTCTGGTACTTATTGAACATAGTTCCCATCAGAATACATGCAGCCAGCAGCAGCAACACGAGGGAAAAGATCCACCAAAACCTACAAGGAGGCCGTTCTAAAGACCATCTGCAATATAATGTGGTTTTCTTAAGACAGAACAGATGGCTTAGAGCAGTGGTCCCCAACCTTTTCAGGTTGTCGGGAGCCAGGGGGCGGGGACACTTGCCCGCCCGGGGGCGGCCCCCCCAGCCACATGCCCGGGGGCGGGGCCCCCCCATAGCCATGCGCCCGGGGCCGGCACCCCCCCGCAAGCGCCGCACG